CCTTATGCCGCCTTGATACCCAATCGAGCCGGTGACCGGATATCGGCTTTTCGTCCTCTCACTTTGGTGGGAAAACACCACCGCCACGAGAAGGTAATGAGTTGGGCTTCCTCAGCAGAGACTATTCCAGACGCTTGGTCGTATGGGAGCAGTTCGCGAGGTGCAAGTGAAGGGTGACCGCAACCCTAGACATCCACTCCCAACCATACTGAGGCTTGTATATAAACCCAATAGATAAACACTGGACGCCATATCCACTCCAAACCATTTTATTGGTTAGTGATTGAACAACTCGTTCATGTTTGTTCGTGTTTTTTTTCACTATTCGTTCACGTTTGATTCTGTTTCTCTATCATCCCTTCATTCAAACCAGTATTTTGGCACTCCAAGACAGCTGCTCTCATGGTTTTCTGACCATTTCACAAAAAGGATCCTGTGAGCCACATTGGGGAGGAGTATACCAAAACCTCTAGTTAATAATTCTGGTGTGCTTCAAGGTGCTGTTTTCTCTCCATATCTCTTTTCTGTTTTTCTTAGTGATCTTTTGGTCCCACCCCCTACGCACATTCAAAAGTATACTGATGACGTCTTGTTGTGTCGGAAAATTTCATCTTCGGAATTCGCCTCTTTCACAGAAAATCTATCCTAAATCCATAAGCTCTACAACCAATCTGGTCCCAGTTTTACCAAATTTGAGCGCGTAGAGTCGATCTTCAGGATTTCCTGCTCCTTGTTTCCAACGGATCTGCGTCCAGAATGATAGTAGTTAAGTACCTGGGTGTCACCATCGACATTAATACCCAGTCGGTCCACACACATTTGCAATTGTGTAAAAAGCTGAGACTCCTCTCATTTCAGTTACGCAAACTGAAGCCTACAGTCAGAGTCTTGTCCACTCTCGTTCACCAAAACGTTTTCTCAATTCTACTCTATTGCTCCTCTGTAGTGTTTCCCGGTCTTTTAAAACAAAACTTCAAAACCATTCGTCGTGGCTTTGTGACAACCAGTCAGGCATCATGAATCTCAAACGATGCATTAATCACAGAAATCGCTTTTGATTCCATATACTCTTGTGTTAAATTTGCCAATAGGATTCTAGATAACCCTCTTCATCCACTGCATTCTGATTCATCAATTTATTGTTCCCATCCGTCCACACGCTCCTCTTTTCGGCATCTACCCTCTCGTGTAAACATTTAGAAGAAGTTCCCTGTGCTATATCAGGCCCAACTTCCAATGAATCGGGAACAGGTCACAAGTGAATTATGTCAGCAGTTTTGTACATGAAACAAACCTCAGCGACATCATATACTTTGAAGTGTTAAATGAAACTATATATTTTGTTCCGCAGGACGACCGATATACACAATTAAAGAAATTAAAAAATATAGGCTTACAAAAGCTATATAAAAGCAAGTGGTTCATATTCATGCAGAATCCCTTCCCCGCTCCATACGGTTACTCAATGATTTATAGTTTTGACCAGTTGAGATAATAAGTATTCCCTATAGATTATGTGCTTATAAGAGATGAAACAGACAATTATCCTCGAGCGACTTAGGAGAATTGTTTACACTAGCTATCACACTTTATCCATTTAGATCTCCATGTTGCCAAGGTAACTAAAATGCCATGTGAATCCTTACTGGCGCAGTTCACGGGTGATATGAAACAAATCTCCGGTTGTGATGAAACGTGCCCCAATCGATTGAAGTTCGAAATGGATCACGTTTGTGCTGGTGGTGGTCTTGAAGATGGAGATACATGCCAGGGTGATAGTGGAGGTCCGCTGGTTTGTGCCACTTACACGCTGAACAATGATACCAAGATTTGGACCGATCGGGTGAGACCTCGAATCCGCTTCTTCATAACTGTCCTTTTGGTCAAATTGATTAAATAGTTCTCCGTATCCGTGTCCTGTTGCGATAGAAATTTGAATTAGGCTTCATTTAATTTAATCCTAAGCTCTTTGGAATGATTGCACAGTTGTTGTTTTGGGTGTTTTAATTTTTGTTGATGAGCTAATTTTCTATATCTATCGTAGCCAGACACACTTTATACGAAAATTGACTACCATTTGGTTCCAGGTTTGTGATATGTTTATTCCATGTGAGTAATGGAGGATTTGGTTAAATTTCAAATGGGAATTCGTCGTGTATATCGCAAATGAAGCGTGAACTGAAAAGCTCGGAAGCACTGGACAGCTTTTCCGACCTGGTTGGGTCTCATGAAAAACGGTCTGATCAGCTGCCCGGTGGCGTAGTAGGTAGCACGCTTNTTCTGCCCATGAATTTCCGGGTTCGATCCCCAGTTGGGCCGATGGATTCGCACTGCTGATGAGACCCAACCAGGTCGAAACAGCTGTCCAGTGCTTCCTAGCTTTTCAGTTTACGCTTCATTTGCTATATACACGACGAATTCCCATTTGAAATGTTTATTCATTAAAATTAACCGTCAAGAGTATAAATGAAATCTGAATAAGTGAGAAAGGTTCATCATGTAATTGTGCCATCCGCTCAACGGATCTAACCGATTATTGTTCATGTAGATTCAGCACTAATGTAGGAATATGTCACAGAATTAACGCTCTGAATAGTTCGTGGAAAAGCAACCGTACTGTTCAATCGGAAATACACTATATGAGAACGGAAACTTCTGTGGCAGTACAGCGATTATTTTATCCACTGCTACTTGCGAAAAACAACACAGTAAACGCAGTCCCGGAGTTCTATACATATAGAGTCTGATTGAAAACATATGGCTAGCATCAATTTGTATATAGTCAGCAAAATTGCAATAAACAAAGGCGATGGTGGTCCGAAGGTAACATCACCAAATTATCACCTCGGTGGACGTGTGTTCGGACCCTACCACCACCGCCTGACTTTCTCCATTTATGTGTTGTATGACAGCTCTTTGATTGGCCGCTTCCCCCTTCCTGAAAATTGGATCATTGTGTATTCAATAAAAGGAAGGAAGATTAAGAATAAAGAAAAGCAGAAGTGTCCATATATTTCTGAGTTCAAAGATGCATCATGGGAAAAGCCATTTCATTTTGATAAATAAATCGCTATATTTCAAACTAGGTGAGCTGTTCTATGAACTGCTGGGAACAATTGTCTGTCTGTCTGTCTGTCTGTCTATCTGTCTGTCTGTCTGTCTGTCTGTCTGTCTGTCTGTCTGTCTGTCTGTCTGTCTGTCTGTTGTTATTAGCTTTCAGCACACATGGTTAATATTTGTCGTGAACGGCTAATCACAATAACGAACCGTCAACTTGCTCCACACGGAAGCTGTTTTCACGTTTCGTTTCGGTATTCATCGTTTGTCTTTTACGTGTTTCAGTGGCAACTGGTTGGAATCGCTTCGCTTGGAATCGGGTGCGGACTCCATGGTGTTCCTTCTGTGTATGCCAAAGTCTCCGGTCAGTTGGGATGGATCATGCAGGTACTGAATGAAACACAGCATGAGTGTCATCCAACCGATATCGAGTGAGAAAATTCCGCTGGAAAATCATGTTTGCG